TGGACCTTTGATAAACTTCCGGATGTGATGATCCTAAATCCAAATTAACTATAATTTGTTAGCTAAAATTTGATTTATTTGCAAATCCAATATGGTACACGCCCGCGAAAACGGGGTGCAGTACTGTACATACATGTACTTCCTCCGCTCACTGTAGGGGAATTTGACAAGAGTAAATTCAATCTTAGCTGACAAGATTTCCCGCCACCTAAACTTGCAGCCTGTCTGTCCGTCTGTCAATAAGTCCGTCCGGTTCCTTTCTTGCTGATTTTTCCTGCCTTTTCGCATGGCTACACTCGGCCTTTCCAATAGAGTTTCCTCCCATCGTACCGACCGCGCCTACCTTTCTGACTCGACCTAACTATGCCAAAATTACAAATATATCCAAAAGCGTGACACAATTAACTCGCGCCCTGATTGGGCAATACCTGCCGACCTGCGACACTGACTGGATCTGTCGCACGATCAGACTGCCTCTCGCCCTCGCGATTGGACGTGATGTAAGCATTTCTGCCGAGCACGAAACGCATCGATTGGTTGCAAATAGCCCGGCGAGCTGCGCAGATACTTGATTATTGCGCAAAACCTGTCGTATGTACTGCAAATCGGGCACACTAACCAATTTATTTTCTAAGAGCTCTGCACACTTCTCAAATAGAGATATTTATCATTATTAATGTAGACTTCACAGACCAGTATTTTGTAAGAGCTCTGGGATGTTATTTTTCACACACTTTTCAAAGTAAAGACGATATTAATACATGTATAAGCTTCACAGGCCGCATTTGTAAGAGCTCGGCGATGCTATTTTCCACACACTTTCTAAAGTAGAGACGATAGTATTTTTAATATTAAAGTAGGCTTCAGGACCAGCGGGACTTTGCGAATATATATCTTTTTGCTTCACCTGGCACTCACCACTGCCACCGTGCAATGAAGGCGCGCGGCTGCACGGTCATTGCGCTATCTGCTCCCGTGCACCGCATCTGATGGATGCATGCGCGCACGGTACATAGTGTTTTTAGTCACTTTTATTGCATGTAAAGTATGTATTTGTTTAAATATCTGACAGTATTACTATTAAAGCAAAATATTAAATATCAACTTTTGAATATTTTGCTTAAAAATAAATTCCACTCTTACAGTACCGTGCTATTGGCTAATATTTGGACGCAAGTAATTGGTTAAAACAATATAATTTGCTAACATACTCACAGTTTGCAAAATGGCGGGCCCTATGTGCAAGCAATGCGAGGCGAAGATTGACCCGCTTCTGCTGAACCCGCAGCGGTCTGCGACGGATACCCGGGCGCGTTGCGTCGGTTGCGGGAGGCTGCAGTACGGTTACGCGCTCCGTACAATCAGCGGACGGGGCAGCGTGCGGCACTGTATTGCGTGCAAGAACGGCCCAAAAGCGGTTGAGTTCTGGGAGGAATAGCCCCCACCACCTGATTCGGGCAAAGTGCGCCGCAAGGAAAGCCTGGCGAACGTCAAGAAGGCGATGGGTCCTGACTGGTACCCCAAGAAGAAAAAGAGACGCAGCCGCCCTCTCAAGCTGACCGCCCGAAACGCCAAGTACATCGAGCAAAAGAAGCAGCAGAAGAGCAGGTAATTTTAATATATACATCCTTATAGCCCCTTACCTCGCATAGTTTTGTATACTGGCTAACGGTGCAAGGCTTGGGGTTGCACATACTGTAAGCTGACTGTGGCGCTACCAAGCGTATTGACGCACCTATAGAGCGTAGCGCGTTTCATATAATAACTAGCACGAGGTATGTACTGTGTACCTCTGCAAGCTGGCCGTCCCTATCTGCATACGCGTCACCGTAGATGGCACGTACACTCGCTCACGTGGGCACACGCAAAACCATGTTATCTGTACCATCAGCTCTTATAGCGTATATTGCACTAATTGGCGCTCACAATTTAAACCACAGTATTGAGTGGGAACTACGTGCGACGAATAAGCTGCTGTTTACATAGATACTACCACTGCGTGACAGTGCAGACCGTACAGATGGACGTGGCAAGTCGATGTGGCTGTACGCAGTACTGTACTTTAGTGCCCTGCCCATAATGACCGAGATAAGAGCTCGGTTGAGTCGCGGATGACTATAAGGTGTGCCCGCCTCGCGCGTATATATCGCATTGGCTACTGCTAACAGACGCGCGTTCAGCATACCTGTATCGCTGCAGTATGGCCTGTGTCCAGTTAGTGACCTGCTTGGTCATATAGACTGACACATCAGAAGCGTAAGCACCGTAAGCCAGCACGACGACGCAAATGCACCGAGAAAGCGACAGTGGCCCTATGCATAGGTTGGATATCACGAGCGCGTGGCAAATACACTCATTTACGACCTCGCGATAAATGCACGGACACATCAAATAGCACGCCGAGCTGATAAGTAGGCAGCGAAAGTACTCCATCTAATGTACATGAACTATTATTCAATTCAAGTCTAACCATCACTGCGATCTGATACTCTGCCTACAGCCATATATCTTCGTATGTTGCAGCGGTCAAAAGAATGTGCACGCAGTGGTGCCTCTTCGTCCGATCTGGACGAGGCCTTTTGTCGTTCATATCGAACTAAGTATAATGTCAGTCGGAAAGGTTTTACGCCACTCTGTCAGTCAGTAGCTATACAAATAAGTCAGAAAGTACGTCAGCTATGCAAGTAAGATAAATGCATGCGGAAGATAGTGGAAATACCCTTCAGTAACATCACAAATAGCTCAGCAGAATAATTTTAAAGCATAATATTGATGTTTGTGGCGACCATCGGCAAATACTACCTATCCTAAAAGATACCTCGCGCGCGGAGCTGATTAACATTGCTCTATTTGACCGTCGCAATCGATGATATGTGTCGACTGCCTCACGGCGATGACGTGCAGATGGGTAATATGTGTGAGTAGGCGTATTTATTCTAGCTACACTGGGATTCCTCACCGATCTACGCATATTTCGTAGCATCATTGATACAGACCCGTATTCCGTACAGCATATATTAGCTTTGCAACCACGCGCGCCTCCGATTCGTGTCATTTTGGGAGCAATGCGCTCAAACGAGATTTTAGACAAAACCTTTCCGGGTAAGATGGTGCTCTTCTTGCAGATCACGTTAAACCCTGGTCGTGTCTACCATAACATGTGAGCACTAAGGATACTGTGTGCGGTGTTGTTTTGGAAAGTAATATATGTAGATCACCGTATACATGTACTACATGTTGCTTCGCTTTGAGTAGAAATTCTAAGCCCACCGCAGCGCAGCGGAGGTGGTCGGCCCTTTCTACATCAACCAACCATGCCCTAGCGTCCGCGGAGCGGACGCCCAGACCGCTAGTTAGTTAGTATACGCGGATGGTTACAGAGTATTGTATAAATCGTAATGCCGAACAAATTTTACAATACACGCCGCAGCATACAAACATATCTAAACCATTCATGATCTCGAATGTAAGCTTACGACACTATTAATTGGGTCAGCGCTAACCGTGTGCGGTCGCCTGGTATCCGCTTGCAGCTGCCAAACTAGCACTTTGTCTGTTGCTTGACGTTGAAATTCTTGTGCACAAAGTTGCGTGCGATATGAGCCGTGTAGTACGTATTCGACGTCAACCCCGCGTGAAGCCGATACGGACAGCATTCCTTTACTTATGTCGCAAAAAAGTATGTCAACTTCCTGTACCGATATCCAAGATATCAAAAACCAGTCGTAACTATCGCTGCTACAGTGCTGCTATTAAAATAGGGACACTAGATTTTTAAAAGCTGTACTCACAAAGCGAGGAGTTAGATTGTGCCGCTCGATCCAACAAACACTTGCCTAATGCCTAACAACTAGCGGTAACTATCTTTTAAAAAATGTACTGTACCAACGTAAAAGCGATATTTATGCTGTGCATCTTAGCATCTCGACCTACGATGTGCATTTGGAATCCGCATTATCATTTTGAATGGAGATGGTGCTGATCTCGGTGGTGGAGTCTCTGGAGCTGCTAGAGCAGCGATGCTGGTGTCGGAATTGGCGTCGGCGGATCGTCCGGCGTGGAAGGAGCTGCAAACACTCGGCGCTACGAAAAGGCTGACGGTTTGATCTCTTTTCGGCGGCTGGTGGCTTCGCAAGAGCATTCCCACCGGCTCCGACTAAAAAACGTCATATTTACCGGCCCAAATTTAAACGGATAGTCTTGTGTATTTCTAACCCCAACAAGAAAAATTTAAGGACAAAAATGAGGACCAAAAGTTGATGGCATTGCTTGGCCTCAGTTTTGGTAGATGCGCCTGTGAGCATATATAGAAATGTATCTCTGTATTAGCTCTCTACACCGTACTAGCAACTCTTCGCTAAACCTTCGCGTTATTGCATGAGCTGCTGGGCCCGTACGGTGTCGGGAATGATTTCCTGGAGAGTGTTTTGTCCTTATGTTAAGGACAAAAATCGTCAAATGGAATAGTATAATCAAGTATAATTTTAATTCCATACAAAGTGGCGTCGGGTCATACGCTTGGCGCGCTCGATTTTTGTCCTTATAATCGAGGTCTTAAGTTTAAAATCACTCGGAGTTTTACGATCTTGCATCTTTTTTCGTCCTCCTTTTAAGGTGAGCTCCCTCAGAATAGAGAGCTTTCGGAACCCCGTTTGAGTTAGGTTTCAGTTCCAGATAGGCCATTTTTTTCTATCTCGAGAGAAAGCTCAAATGTTATTTTCGGTAAGCTGCAAGCAGGTTTCAGCTTCATTTTCAGTTAGCTCAGACACCTCACTCACGTCTTCACGATGTCTTCGTCCAGCCAGCGAGAGGAGCCACAAAGACTGCCCAGGCGAGCTGCCGATTGTGCTGCTGAAGAGAAAGAAACGCAAGAGAGAGAGGAGCTGCTAGCACGACCAGCATTGCGCCAGAAGTTTGCTGCTGTGGACGATATCGTGCTGCTAAAGGCCGTCAACACCTTCCGTCCCTGGCCTGCTGCAGTCGGAACGTCGAAAGGCATCATGAAAGTCTTCGATGATATAGCTATCCATTGTCGTTTAGAGCAGTCGTTTGGCTTGAAGAAGCCTGGAACCGCAATGCGCACCCGCTTCACAAACTTGGTTAATCAGTACAAGGCAGACCAGTGCCAGTCGATGCGAAAGTCAGGGACTACTGAGGAATACGCCGAGCGGGAAGTGCTGCTTCAGAATATCGTCACGCTGATGAACGACTGGGAAGATAAGGAGGCGCAGCGCAAAGAGGAATAAACGGCAAAGCAACGAGGTATAGAACGCTCCGGTGAGCTTTTGCGTAGTCTTGCTATGGGCGAGATCGCTTTCGACGAAGAGGAAGAGCTAGATTTTGCTCTTGACAGTAGTCGTAGTGGAGAGGACAGTGGCGAAGCTACGGACGCAGCAACTTCGTATCCAACTGTTGGCACTGCTGCACCAAGCAAGCGATCCACTCGCGCACCGCTAGGTACCAGCAGCGGCCGGAAGAACAAAATTACTAAACGAGAGCGGCTTGATGTAGTATCTAACGGGATAACTAGTGCTCTTTTGGAAGCAAGCGAGGACGAGAAGGCGAAGTACCAGTACAAGATGCAGCGCCTTCAGTTTGAACGGGAACAGGAGGACCAAAAGCGAGTTCACGGTGCAGCAGAAGCTGAAAAGCGCCGAGCTCATGAACTTCAGCTCGAAGACCGCCGTCTTCAGTCTGACGCAGCTCGTGATAAACGGATGCAAGAGTTTATATTGAAAGTACTCGAACAGCAAAAGCAATGAGCTACCTACGCAGTTCTTCATCTTGCAACGGGTTTAAGCCTAGATAAAACTCCAGAGACGGAGGGGAGGCATCATGCCGAAATACATCGAAATTTGGTTTCCTAATGGCTGAAGACAGGTATGACAATTGAAAAGGAGTACTGCAGCGTAAAAGTTTAATCCCACTGCACTTTGACGCACTCGTTGCTTTTTATCCCAGTTCAGAAACTCCCAAAGCGTCTTCACTCGCCCGAATCCCCACTCAACGCATTCACGTACGCTGCTCATGTTTTTGTTGAATGTCGCACCTGCGGCGCTGCCTACAGACGACGGCGAGCAAATAAATCCACCGCAACCGTACGCGGGATCGCCGTAAATCACTCGGTTTGAGAAAAGTCCTTCTTGGTTTTCTTCCATCACGTCCAACACACCACTGATGTTCAGCATGGTAGAATCATGCTTTCTTCCTTCTACTGGTCCAAACATGCTGACGATAATTCCATCGGGAGCCTGAATGCTCTGCCAGTTGAAGCAGTGTTTTCTCGGATGGCCATTGTAGACTGATCGCTGCAAATTCTCATTTGGTATGTCCCCAATCTCGCGTGCACTCGGTCGTGATATGTACTGCTTTGTGCCGTCAATAAATCCCCAGCAACTTTGGAGTGCTGCACCAGAATCCCTAGTAGCCTTACAGTATGCAGCAATTCTAACCGCGATCACCGCCTCGTTAAAGTACAGGAGATCTTTGTGCCTGTTGTAGAGCAGCGCCACGGTTTTCGCAATAACACGGCTGTAAGCTCCCGTGGACCTTCCAAATTCAGAAGCCACAGTGAATAGTTTAGACGCCTCTGATAGCCTTCGACAAACCATAGCTAGCGCTTCGACTCGCGAAACGTTGTCTCCAGCAGCAGTTCGCACTTTATCGCGTGGCAGCCCCAACAAAGCAGCTAGATGATGTAGTTGAGCAACGGTAAAGCGATATCGAAGGCGTGCTGTGGCATCGTCCATCATTTCATCAAAGCAACGAGACGAATCCACAGCAGCGGCGGCGTCACGCAGCCGAAAACAGTGTAATTTCTTCAATGTCTTCATTATCCTTAAAAACCGCTTCGCGTTGGCGCGGGAAAGCCGCCACACTTGCTCCAGCACCTCCATCGCTTGGTCCGCCGTTAGCTTTGGTCCAACAAACATCGTGAACGTCTTAGAATGCCGTCGGCGCCATCCATCCCAACTCAAATCAAGAGGGGGTAGGCTTGAGGACCAAGATTTCTAGCTCAAACCTACTCACGTTTGAGTTGACGTACAACCCCTAAACAGCGTCTATCTCGAACTGAAGCTGAAACGTGCAAGAAAAACAGACTCCGAAAGTTCTCTAATGAATCCCGGTCGAGAGCAGAGTTTCTCGACCTGCAGCAAGGTAAGCATGACGCTCATGCTTACGCCCAACATGTACGGTACTTGATCTCGAGCATCGCGGCCAACCCGATCGACGAGGCGACAAAAGTCGTCACGTTCATGAAAGGCTTGAGGGATGGGTCGGTTAAGATCTATCTCTTCCGAGAGTACCCAAGTACTCTCGAAGCTGCGATTGCTTTTGCGACGCAAGAGAAGTTTAGCCTGAAGCAGGCTAAGCTTCATTCGGGCGTGCCGAGGATGGGACGTCCGATGATGAGAGCGGGAGGTCCAGAGCCTATGGACCTCTCGAACGCTTCCGCTGTTGGGCGCCAACAGCGTATTGGGGGACAAGTGCGGTGTTCTCGATGTGGGTACCCCGGACACTTTGCGCGTGAGTGCACAGCGCCTGTGCACTCGGCCAGGGGCCAACGTGGCGATGCCGGGCATCGCCTCGTACAATACAAAAACGTTCAGAGCCAGTAGACGCGGGGCGCCCTACTGGTATTGCAGTCGCGCGTATCTACAACGGACACGCGACGTTGAGGACTGCATCCCCCAGCGAGAGAGATTATCGCTGCAGGAAGCAAGATGACACGTCAAATACTGTCATCCTGAAAGTGACGTTGAAGAGAGCAGGCTCTCTTTGTGGTTTGGCTGACTCACGTTCGTCGAACGACTTTGTTCGACTCGAAAGGCTCCCGAAGCTGAACTTCGACGTAGCTAAAACACATCGAGGTGTTTTGGAGGTGCGGTTGGCAACAGGTGCCACCATTAGAACGGAGAAGCGCGTAGTACGCGTGCGATTCTCGTACAAACAACGGGTATTTGTGGAAGGCCTTATCGTCCTGGATCTGGACGGTAAGTTTGACTTGGTATTCGACATGCCGTGGCTTGCACTGCATGATCCAGTGATCAGCTGGAAGAAGTGTACACTTGTACCCTTCGGACGCAACGCGACAAAACGGCTGGTTTCTTCAAGATATCACAACGGAGAGCGATGGCCCTGTAAGTGTCGCGGATGCACCGCAAGGTGCATCCGATCCTACTGTTGCGGCAGCACCATACGTTGCAGACTCCGGTGCCCATTCACAAGTCACAACGCCTGAGGCAGCTGTTGAGTCTGTGTCAAATCGGAAATCAGATTTAAGACACGTTCCTACTTCACTGACCTGAGAGTTGATCGATCAAGTATGGAAGGACTTCAAGTCACTGACATTGACTGTGACGGTGGTGCGTCGGTCCCGAGGACTGACGCATCGAATATACAACTTTAGCTACAGGCAGTAGCTGTGACGTCGGCGAAGCTCCGGGAGCTGACACGGTCGTGGTTGGTTCAAAAATCACGAAGGAGTCCGCCGAAAGGCGTCGAGGTGATGACAGCGCGTCAGCTTCGGGAGCTGACGACGCAGCAAGTAGTGTTAGCGGTTGCAAACGACCAACACTGAAAACGCTTGCGTGCTCGCGTGCGGCCGGGCTGCACGACGAAGCGGAATGCAATCAAGCCGGGCTTGATCATTCGCGTCCGCGGAAAGAATCCGCCGACGGTTACAGCAGAAATCGGTCCAAGTCCTGGCCTGGACGAGAACGGCGCAAGCGACGAAAGCTGCGCAAGTCTCGGTCCGGGACCGAGGCGATACGAACGATGTCTTCCGGGAAGACATCGGAGACGACGTCGTGCGTCGAGACGTTGAACGTCTTGACGCGGACCCGTACTGGTCTCTAGTACCGGTCAATGCAACTGGATAATCATCCGACGAGTGCGTCGGAGCTGATGTCGCTTCCAGTCATTGGCTGGATTCGCTTCGCGAAGGGCCTGTACGATGGGCGCATCGAACCGATATGCATCCTTACGGATATCGAAAGGATGGAAAGCGAAGGAGTTGAGGCAGCTCCACGCTGCGAATACCGCTGAGAGTAATGACACTCTTAGCGCGAAGATGAAGAAGCAGCGCTTCGACGAGCAGAGTTGGGACTCGTTGAAGTCGAGTCTTTTTATATAATGTTCTACTAGAGCACAAGGAAGTGCCCCCGGAAGCGACATCTGCGGAACTTCCGTAGGACAAAGGCATACAGCACGAGACTGACCTCGTGCGGTGTACGAAGTACAGTAGCCACTGCCGCGTGATCAAGTAAAGGCAATCGACAACCTCTTTGAAAGTCGTCGTATAGCGGGTCAAGTGCGGGAATGAAAGTCCCCGCACAACGCACCAACGTTCTGTGTCAAGAAGTCACAGGGTGGATGGCGCATCGTTCATGCTTACAACAAGCTGAACGATGCGACGATACCGGCGCAGACGCTGATACCACAAAAAGATGTAATCATCGATTCGATGGCCAGGAGCACCATCTATAGTGCTCTTGATATGAGCGACGGGCTCTATCAGATCCTGATGCGTGAGAGGGACATTCCTCTCACGGCGGTGAGCACTCCAAGCAGTATGCTTTGGGAGTGGCTCGTAATGCCACAGGTACTAAAAAATACCCCTGCATCCTTTAATAGATGTGTTATACATCTATTGCGATTAGTGCGTGACTTTGCACCGAGCTACTTCGACGACGTGTTCGTTCACCGCCGGGCTGTGGACGGGACGACGGACGTCGAGGTGCAAAAAGAGCACCTCGGCTTATGCGTATACATAAGATCTATGCGAACATGAAGAAGTTATCTTCAGGGCGAGCGAGATACCTGTCCCTGGGTGTCTCGTCGGGAAGAACGTAACCCAGAAAAGGTCAGAGGGATCAATGAATGGTATACGCCATCCAACGTGAAGGAGCTGAGGCAGTTTCTTGGACTTGCAACGTACTTGTGCAAATACGTCTAGAATTACCCGCTGTCACAGCTCCTGAAAAAGGAGGTTGAGTGAATTTGGACTGCTGAGGGTCAGCAGGCTTTCGATACAGCCAAGCAGGGCTTTACTGAGGCGCCGAGCTTGGCAGTGGCTGACCAAGATCGCCCATCCCACATCGTGTGTGACGCTCCGATTTAGTGATCGGATGCGCGTTGATGCAGCACGATCGCGAGGGCCGTGATCGTGCCGTCTACTACCAGTCGCGTCGGCTGAAGCCAGCTGAGAGTAACTACCCTGTATATGACAAGGAACTCCTTGCCATGAAGTATGCACTCGCGAAGCTCCGAGTGTATTTACCTGGGAGTAGACTGCTCGTGGTCTACACCGACCACGCTTCACTGCGAACAGCAGTGAAGACTCCGCAAATCTCGCAACGAATGGTGAGATGGTTGTCGTTCTTTGCGGAGTACGACTTCCAGGTTGAGTACAAACCTGAAGGATTGAATGTGGTGGCCGACGCGCTGTCGCGTCGACCTGATTACGATGTTAATGCAGCCGACGTCAATCGAATTGGCGTCGAACGAGTAAGTGTTCCGTCGTCGACATTGATCGACGACGTGAAGAACGCTACGGGCGGAAATCCGAGCCGCATCATGGCGAACGCCTCTCTTAGAGATAATTTGACCGCACGTAAAACGAACATCCTGATATCGTTGGCCTTCGGCTTCTTGACGATGAGCGGAGGGGAGCACCATTTGCTGTACGATTACGACAGCACAAAACTGCATCGATCAGTTCCTGTACGTGCTTCCTCATTAGCGCACGAAGCTCAGCAGG